GAACAAATAGCAGAACAAGATAAAATAAAATATAATAAACTAAAAAATAGAATGAATGTGAGAAACAAAATAGAACACCCTTAAAACAACAACAGCAACAGCAAAAAAAGAAAAAGAAAAAAGAACTTGCAGAAAAAATGGAAAGGAGGAGGCAAATCAAGCTATGACAAGGAAGCAAGAAAGAAGGGAGAGAGAAAGGTTAGAAGGAAAGAAAGAGAGAAAAATGGAGAGAAAAAAAATATATATCTACACCCCCCTATATATGGACATATATATCCACATATATGCACCTTTATATATGCCTATATAAAACTAAAATTACTAATGAAATAGAGAAATCCAAAACAACCAACACAAGCGATCAATGGAAAAACAAAACAAAACCCCAAAACATCCAAGAGAACCCAATTAACAATAACAATATAACACACCAAAAGAGAAACCAAAACCGAAAACAATAAAAAAAAAAAAAGGGAGAAAAACCAAGAAATAACCAGCCAATCTTGGCTGAAGTCTGCCAAGCCGTCCCCAGGTTTTCCTCTGCTATACACATACTCCTGTGTGCCTTGTGGGGGCAAAGCCAGCCGCCTGGCACCTACAGTGAGCCAGGTCAGGTCTATTTTAGATGAGTGGAGTTATGAGGTGTGATTGGTAGTTTTTTTACAAAGTCAGTGTTATTTCTGCTCCTGCCTGTCCGGAGGCACTCTGATTTCTGCGCAGCCAGAGGACTGGATGTGAGTCTTCGGGTGCTCTTTCCACGGGGGCTGTTGGAGGGTAGGGGGTGGAGATTTCAGAGCTGCTGGTAGGCCTTCAGTGCCTCAGCAGTCAAAGTTGTTCTGCTTCCCAAGCCTCCCAGGAGAGGTGGGGGAGGGGACGGTGTGTTTAGTAGCTCCCACCTGCAGCCTTTTCCCATGTAAATTACTCAACCCCCAGGGAGTCAAAGCACCTTTGTTCTGACTTACTCCTCTCTTCAGGGGTCAGCCTCAGGCTCTTGCAGGGAGGGGTCCAGGGTTTCTGAGGGAGGGGGGTGTGCACTTATCTATGCAGTTTATTTATTTTTCCTTGTTTGAGAGAAAAGGGGAAAAAAGAAAGAGAAAAAAAATAGGAAAAAGATAAAAGCCCCCTCCGAGGCTCCCGCAGAGCCCCTGCTGCTCTCCAGGAGCACCCCCTGGCAAAGTAGCTCATGTCTCCACAGCTGTGGGGTGCGGGCTGTGTCTCCACACTTCTTGCTTCCCTCTTCTCCTGCTCGCTGGTTTCAGATTTCTTAAGCAAACTTATTTAAACCTAGGCTCTACCTATTTAGTCCAGTTTGTTTGTTTATTTGTTTTAACCTAGGCTATTTTATGGCAGACCCAATCTTTGTACCCTCATTCTTATATTTAGTGATCAATACACTTGGATCAAGGAAGAAATTTTGGTTTTTAAAAAATTTCTATATGTGAAATTGCATTTTAATGTTAACATATAGCTCATATAAAAATTACCATTAAAATGTTAAATAATGGTGTAATAAATTGATTTATAGCTGAATGCTGGCATAATCAAGGACTATTACATCATATCAAATGGAACTCAAGGCCCTGGAGCTACAGAATTATTTCTGATATTTCTCATTCTGTTTTTTCCAATGGTTAATAATACAAGTCATACAACATACTTGAATTTCTATGTACACTGTGAGGTCTCATATGTTTCCTGTTTTTCTGCTCATCAAGTAGAAGATTTCTATTGTAGCACAGTTGGTGTTACCATAGTCTTCAGAAGGGACAGTCCATAAATAACATTCAAGTGTTTTTCAGTAATATAGATTTATCATGAGATGAAGACAATAGAATGTGTATATTTATATTTATATTCACTTACTTTCTCATTCAGTATTAACAGAGAGTACCTAGACTCCCACATTATTGTAGCAGGCTCACTGGGATTCTTTTAAACCAGGACTATATTTTCACATGAAATTTTTTTATTTGCAATTAATTTTTATATGTAAGTCTTATGAAGATTTTCTATGCATTCTTTTTGCCTTCTTTACATGTCACTCTTTGTGCTTAACAAATTCAATATATCTTAACATTTGATCGATCTCCTTTTCTTTTTCCAGAAAAACACTCTTTCAAAACTATTACCCCAGTATCTAGAAATGCACATTATCGTGGAAAATGCTTTGGTGAGTCACTTTCCTCTCCTTCCCTCCCTCTCTCCTTCCCTCCCTCCCTCTCTCACTTCCTCCTTCTCTCCATCTTCTCTCTCTCTCTCTCTCTCTCTCTCTCTCTCTCTCTCTCTCTCTCTCTCTCTCTCTCTCTCTCTCTNTCTCTCTCTCTCTCTCTCTCTCTCTCTCTCTCTCTCCCCCTCCTTTTGTCTCTCTCTTGCTCTTTCTTTCTTTAAACTTAATGAGATTTTCCCTTAATTTTAAAACCACAGTGGAATTTTTATTATTTCCAAATAAAAACACTTTGTTTTAGGTGTTAATTATGGCTAAAAGCCCAAAGTTGCCTAGAAAGCCCTACACCATGTACCCACCTCTTCAGCCCCAGCTCAGCCCCGCATCCCTTTGACCCCATTTCCGGTCGGCCTCGCCTTGCTCTTCCTTGCACATACTCTAGCCTCTCTGGTCATGTGTTATCTTTGAACATACCAGGCATTTACCATCTTACAAATTTACTGAATATTTTTTCCAAATTTATTGAAGAATAATTGTCAAATATAATTGTATACATTTAAACTGTACAACATGATAAATTTGATATACTGGGGTGCCAAGAAAATGTATACAAGTGGACACTTTGTTCCACGTTGCTCAAGCAGTAGTTCGCCATAATCAGAAGTGTCTGGATGCTGACGGTAACCACTTTGAGCACCTCTTGTAATTACAGAAGTCAAACGTGACTTGTATTCATCTGTTGTTACCAGTATATATTATTAGAATTTTAATACAATTTTTCTTTATTAAAATGTGTATACAGTTTTTGGAACCCTTTGTACATGTACATTGTGGATTGATTACCAAGATTAAGATAATAAACACATCCATTACTTCACATAGTTAACTTTGTGTGTGTGTGTGTGTGTGTGTGTGTGTGTGTGTACGTGTGCATTCTAATGTGTGGTAAGAACACTTAAGATCTACTCTCAGCAAATTTCAAGTATACAACACCATATAATTAACTCTAGTCACCAGGCTGTACATTAAATCCTCAGAACTTATTCTTCTTATAATTGAAAGTCTGTACCTTTTTACCTACACCTTTCCATTTTCCCTTCACTCCAGTCACTGGCAACCACTATTCCAGTCTTTGTTTCTATAAAATCTAAAATCACTTTTTTTCTTAAAGATTCTACATATGTGTGATACCAATTTTTGTTGTTTTTCTCTGGTTTCTATCACTTAGCCTAATGACCTCCAATTTCATCATGTTGTTGCTAATGGGATGATCTCCTTTTTTATGATGATTAATATTTTATTGTGTATATGTAAAGCACATTTTCTTTGTCAATTCATTTGTTGATGACACATAGGTTGTTTACATATCCAGGTTATTGTGAAGAATGTTGCAATGAACATGGGAATGCCGATATCTATTTGAGATACTGATTTTATTTCCTTAAGACATATACACAGGAGCGGGATTGCTGGATCATATAGTAGTTCTGTTTTGTTTTATTTTTTATTAAAGTTTATTGGGGTGGCAATTGTTACTAAAGTTACATAGGTTCCAAGTGTATAATTCTGTAATACATCATCTATTTATCACATTGTGTGTTCACCACCCAGAGTCAGTTCTCCTTCCATCACCATATATTTGATCCCCTTTACGCTCATCTACCACCCTCCCCCGCTACCCTCTGGTAACCACGAAACTGTTGTCTGTGTCTCTGAGTTTTTGTTTCTTCATTTGTTTGTCTTCCTTTGCGGCTTTCATTTTTATATCCCACATGCCAGTGAAATCATATGGTTCTCAACTATTTCTGTGTGTTTTGCTTAGCATAATAATATCAAGATCTATCCATGTTGTTGCAAATGGGACTATTTCATCTTTTCTTATGGCATAATAGTATTCCACTGTGTATATATACCACATCTTCTTTATCCAATCATCTATCGAAGAACACTTTGGTTGTTTCCATGTCTTGGCCACTGTAAATAAAGCTACAATTTTGGGGGGTAGATACCCAGGAGAGGGATTGCTGGGTCATATGGTAATTCTATTCTTAATTTTTTCAGGAACCACCACACTGCCTTCCATAGTGGCTGCACCAATCTTCATTCCCATCAACAGTATATGAGGTTTCTGTTTCCTTTTTCTCCACGGCCTCTCCCACACTTGTTACTATTTGTCTTGTTTATGGTAGCCATTCTAACTGGTGTGAGGTGATAGCTTATTGTGGTGTTTATTTGCATTTCTCTGATGATTAGTGATGTTGTGACGAGGCCTGCTTGTCTGCAGTGGCCACCTGGCTCGTCAGCCAGGCACCTAGAGGGTTAACCTGAGTGGACTGGATGAGGAGATAGAAAAGAAAGACACAGAGATGAAAGTTGGGCCCAGGAGGTCCACTGTCCGCTGATGGCAAAAAGTGGCACTGTTTATTGTTTGCACACAGTTTTTATAGCAGAAGTAGAATTCTATAGGTTAGGGGTTTTGGGAGCTTGAGGGAGTGGGGAAGCAAATGTTCCCAAAGCGAGAAAAGTATAGCAAGTAGAAACTGCTAACAGGCTGGCAGTTCACTCTGTAACTTTCAAGGTTGTTTGTGACGTAAGCTTGCAGCAGCACAGTGGAGAATGAGATCTATCTAGCAACCTTCCCACACTGCTCACCCGGGCCTGAGAGCCCGTCAGCTTGTCAGCTGCCAGGCTTAACCCTTACTGCAGACCTCCGGCTCTCCACAATGTTGAACATCTTGTATGTCCTCTTTGGAGAAATGTCTAGTCAGGTCCTCTGACCATTTTTAATTGGTTTGTTTGTTTTTTTGTTGTTGTTGAGTTGTATGAGTTCCTTATTCTTTTGGATATTAGCCCCTTATCAAGACATTGTTTGCAAATATGTTCTCCTATTCGGTTGGTTGCCTCTTTATTTTGTCGATGGTTTCTTTTGCTGTGCAAAAGCTTTTTAGTTTGATATAGACTTATTTGTTTATTTTAGCTTTTACTTCCCTTGCCTTTGAGGTCAAATTCACAAAATCCTCTTTGAATCCAAGGTCCATAAATTTAGTACCTATGTTTTCTTCTATGCAGTTTATTGTTTCAGGTCTCATGTTTAGGTCTTTGATCCATTTTGAGTTAATTTCGGTACAGGCTAGGACTTCACTGTTTTCTATAAGGCTTTACCAAATTACATTCCCACAAACAGTGTTCCCTTTTCTTCACATCATTGCCAGCATTTGAAATCTCTTGTTTTCTTTATAATATCATTCTAACAGGTTTAAGGTTATTACTTTATTTCATTCTGGTTTTATTGACATTTCCCTGATAATTATGATATTAAACACTTTCTCATGTACCTATTGGCATTTTGTATATATTCTTTAGAAAAATGTCCATGTGGTAGATATAATTTCTTTTGAATATCTACTTAGGAGTGAAATTGTTATGTCATATGGTCAGAATATGTTGCCTTTAGAGGATATTGATAAATAGTTTTCAAAAGTGATTATAACAATTTATCCTCCTATCGACAATGTATGAAAGATCCAAGAATTCCATATTCTCACAAACAATTGGTATTAATAATTTTTAAATAATTTTAGCCATTCTGGTGTATGTATTGTAGGATCACATTGCAGTTTCTATTAGTATTTCCCTGATGACTTTGAATTTGAACAAATTTGATACTGTTATTGACCATTTGTATATTCTCTTTAAGAGTAAATATACAAATATTTTCCATTTTAATTTTTTCATTGTTGCTTTGTGGAAATTCTTTATATTTTATGAATACAAGTTCTTTGTCAGATAGCTATAATGAGGATATATTCTCACAGTCTGAGTATTGTCTTTATACTCAATGGTGGATTGATGGGCATACATTTAAATTATTATTAATTTAAGTTTAATTTATAATTTTTATTATTGCTTTATCTTTTCTATTTAAGAAATATTTTCTTACACCAAGCACATAAATATTATGCCTATGTTTTATTTTAGAATGTATTTTTCTTTATTTATTCACATGTAGTTGTATAATCCATCTCTATTTGATACAAGTGTGTGGTGTGAGGTAGGATTAGGTTTATATTTCCCATATCCATTTGCTCCAGCATTATTTATAGAAAAGACCTACCTTATTCAATTATATTGGCAATTTTTAAAAAATCATGTAAAGAAATACATATGACCTATTTTTCAAATTTTTATTTATTTCCATTTTCTATATATGTTACGTTGAATCAATACTTCACTGTCTTAATTACTGTAGCTTTATTGTCATTTAATCTATTTGTTTAAATCTTCTTCTTATTCTCCATTATTATTTTGACTACTCTGGGTCCTTTGCATTTAACCACATTTTAGAATTTATTTATAAATTTCCATACATACAGAAACACAAAAAACAAGTGTGATTTTTAAATTTATTTTTATATTATAGTTGACATACAATATTATATTAGTTTCAGGGGTAAAACATGGTGATTAGACATTTATATACCTGACAAAGTAGTCACCATGAAAGGCTAGTAATCACCTGTCACCATACATAGTTATTACCATATTAATGACTATATTTCCTATCTTGTACATTATATCCCTGTGACTTATTTTATAACAGACAGGTTATACACCTTTACCATTTTTGTCCATTCCCCACCCCTCCCATTTGGCAACCATCAATATCTATGTTTGTTTCTGTTTTGTTTTGTTTGTTCATTTGTTTTGTTTTTTAGATTCCACAATAAGGGAAATCATATGGTATTTGTCTATCTCTGTCTGACTTATTTTATTCAGCATAATACCCTCTAGGTCCATCCATGTTTTTATAAATGGCAATATTTCATTCTTTTTTTATGGCTGAGTAATTAATATTCCATTCTATCTATATATCACATCTTCTTTATTCATTCCTCTATTGATGAACACACAGACTGTTTCTATATCTTGGCTATTGTAAATAATGCTGTAATAAACATAGGGAGTGCATATATCTTTTTGAATTAATGTTTTCCAATTAAAAAGTGAGCAGAGGATCTGAATAGACATTTCTCCAAAGAAGACATACAGATGGGCAACAGACACATAAAATGTTGCTCAGCATCACTAATCATGAAGGAAATGGAAATCAGACCCACAATGAGATATCACCTCACACCTGTCAGAATGACTTATTATCAAAAACAGAACAAAGAATAAGTGTTGGTGAGGATGTGGAGAAAAGGAAGCCCTTATGCAGTGTTGGTGGGGATTTAAAGTAGTGCAACCACCATGGAAAACAGAATAGAGTTTCCTCAAAAAATTAAAAATAGAATTACATATGACCCGGCACTCCCACTTCTGGATATTTATCTGAAGGAATCGAAAATACTGAGAAAACAACTGTGGTTTTGATTTTAGGATTGCACTGAATGCTTAAATCACTTTGGGGAGCATTAACATCTTAACAGTATTGAGTCCTATCTATAAATACACACAGATGCCTTTACATTTTTTGTTAATTTCTTTCACCAGTGTTCTGTAGAAATCTTGAACAACCTTATTATTGTTCTATATTTGATATTGTTCTGTATTTGATAGTCAATAGTAAAAGGGTTATTTGCACTAACATTTTAGGTTTTGTTGCTAGTTTATAGAATACCATTGATTTTTATGTATTCATCTAATGTCCTGTGATATTATATAATTCACTTGTTAATTCTTATGAAGTTTTTGGGCAGTTTTCTTTAAATATTCTATGTACACAATCATAATTGTGAATAATGATGATTTTAATTCCTCTTTTCTAATCTTTGATTTCCTTTTTTATTTTGCTTCTGTAATGTAAGCTTGTTTGTTTTGCTTTTATTTCCTTTTCTTGATTTAATATCTTTGCTTGGCTTGGCTCTTTAATACATATGAATGTATTCTGTACATTCCTAACTTTCCCCCTACCTTTTAGAGTAGCCATTTTCTACAAGTATCATGCTAGCTATTAATTTCGGTAGATAACCTTAATAATATTGAGGAAGTTCCCATAAATTCTTAGATTTCTGAGTTTTTTATTTTTATCATGGACAGTTGTTAAATTTTATCAAATGCTTTTTGTTGCACCCACTGAGATGATTTGAAGCTGAAGCTGAATGATACTGAATGACAACTATAATTATATATATATTATATATATATATATATATATATAGTCATAGGATATGTAGTACAGTATAGGGAATAGAGTCAATGGAATTATAACAGCTATATACGATGTCAGAGGGATAGTAGATTGGGGGAGAGAGGTTATCACTTTGTGAGGGGTGTAAATGTCTAACTATTACATTGTTTTGTACACCTGAAACTAAAAAAAAAAGATTATCTATATTTGGAAACCACTTTTGTGTTTCTAATATATTTATATCCTATTTATTCATTATAATTTATCAATTTTTACAAATCATGAATCTTTTATTTAATGTTCTGTTTCAAATTTTAAGGTTTATGTTCATGAAATAATAGTATGTAATGTTCCTTTTTTATAATGTTTAATTGTGGTATTAAGATTATGCAGACCTCATAAAAGGAGTTAGTGAATTTTATTCCTCTTTTTATTCTGTTCAAGAATTTATACATTATGGATTTGATTTCTTCCATATATACTTGGAAATTTCACCTCTGAAACCATGTAGATCTTAAGTTTTCTTGGTGGAGGTACTTTAAGCACAGATTTAATTACTTTGACATAATAGAATAGTTTAGGTTGATTTTGTTTCACTTTTTTTTAAGTTAGATTTCAAGGAATTATTTTCATATTACATAAGCTTTCAAATTATTGGACTAAATTTGTTCATAATACCCTCTTATTATCTTTAAAAAATAGTGAAGTTATAGTGATATCACCCTTTATATTGCTCACCATTGCTACTGGTGATCTCTTTGCTCTTTAGTTTTATAACAGTCATCAAAACATGAAATTTAACATTCCTACAATACTATTTACTACCCTATAGATTTTGCTTGAATTTTGACAGTTTCCCCACAATGTTGTTTTTCTATTTCAGCCTCCAATCAAAGATCCTACATTACACTGAATTATCATGTTTTTATTCTCCTCTAATCTAACACAGTACTATGCTTTTTCTTTTTCTTATATCTTGACACCTAGAAATTAATGTCTTTCATCTATTGAAGAATAATTGCCAGATACTTTGCTGAATGTACCTCAATATTAGTTTGCTGATGCTTTTCTAATGAATAGATTGAGAATCTGTATTTTTTAATGAGTACCAGAAAAATTATCCTTTCTTTTTAAGCTGTTGCTAAGGTAGAGCTGGCATAAAACAAGTTAGGACTTCTTTACCTTTTCTTTTTTTTTTTTTTTTTTAAATTTTTATTTATTGTTAGTTTCAGGTGTACAGAACAATGCAATAGTTACCCTTTTCACCCTCACAAAGTAACAACCCCCCACCCCCCATCCACTGCTTACCTTTTCTTATATTCTGGAAGAATTTTGTGTACAAATTTTTAAATTTCTTCTTTAATTTCTGTAAGAAATCACTCTTGTAACCCTCTCAGCCTAGTAATTTATTTTTGGAAAGTCCTATTATTACCTATTTTTTATAGTTATATGATTAAATATTTTCCAATTTATCTGTGTCAGTTTTGGTAAATAGTGTTTTCAATATTTTCAAATTTATCAAAACTCAAAAGTTATTGGCATAAATATTTTCATACTCCATTTTTCTTTTATTCTTTTAATATCCGGTAGGATGTATACATAGTTTGTTCTCTCTTTCTTTCCTGATATTGGTAATTCAAATCATCTCATATTTTTTGTTAGTGTTTATTAGGGATTTATCTAATGTATTCATCTTTTCAAAGAACCTATATTTGTATTTCTTGATTTTTTTAATGGTTGTTTCCCAGTTTATTGCTCTCTCTCTTTTTTTTTTTATTTCCTCCCTTCCAGTTTCTTGGTTGGGTATTAAGATTATTGATTATATGCATTTCTTATTTACTCATATATCCATGGTTAAAAACTTAACTCTAGTCAAAGAGTAACTATATAATACACATTTTTTTTGTTTGTTTCTAGCAACACAAGTTTTTATATGTCTGATTTCCATCAATATTTAGTTTTTTTAAAAAAAAATCATTTTCTAATTTGTGTGTGTGTGTGTGTGTGTGTGTGTGTGTGTGTGTGTGTGTGTGTGTGTGTGACCCTTGGGTAATGTATAATTGTATTTGTTAGGTTCAAGATATTTTGGGTTTTTCATATTTAGTTTTATTCCATATTGGTGAAAGAGCATGATCTGAATGATGTAAATTTTTGGAAATGTTTGTGACTTCTTTATGTCTCAGTATATGGTCAGTTTTATATTTCATATGCATTTGTAAAGGATTTATTATATTCTGCCCTGCTTGAATGCAGTGCTCTATAAATATTAATGAGTCAGGTATTTTTAACTCTGTTGTTCTCAGCTTTTCCCCTCTTGTCCTATCAGTTACTGCGACAGTTGTGTTAATATCTTGAACTACTATTGTGGGTTTCTTTTTATTTTTAAATTTATTGGGGTGACAATGGTTAGTAAAATTACCAGAGGGTAAGGAGGGAAGAGGATTGCAGATGAGGGTAAAGGGGGCCAAATATATGGTGATGGTGGGTTTCTTAAATTATCCTATTAATTGTGTCAATTTTGTTTTCCATATTTTGATATGTGTTAGTTCCTACTAATTAAGCATTGCTATATCTTCTTCCTTATATTTTTGGAGTGTTGTCCTCGAGAAATAAACCTTTGGAACTAGTGATGTATTCCAAAGTGTGAAACCATTTAGTACAAGAAATTTTACTTCTATTTGATGATCTTGAGTATTCACAAACAGACTGTTATAAGTAAGGATTTTTCTTATTTGTGTGTTTTGTATTTCATATATATAACACCTGCCTAATGAAGTGTCTTTGTATTAGAATAAAAATGTTTTATCTAGAATATGTTTAATTTTTAATTTATCCAACAGAAATATGTAATTAATTTTATATTACTTCTTTTATCAACATTTGTAAACAGTACAGCCATTTCAGTAACTGTGATTTCTAAGATTTGGTAGAATTTCTTATTTTCTATTTGTAAATTTGACAACTTTTATGGAAGTATTAAGCATTTTCCAAATATGACTCCAAAGAACAGACATAATAATCAAACTCCGAAATAGGAGTCCATATCTTCTTAAGAATTTACCAGTTATAGAGAACAATTTCTTTCCTTCCTCCTTTCCTTTACATTATTTCACCTTATTCTTTATCAAAACTTTTTGAATCATTCAATCCACATAATTTTTAGTTTATATCATTGTGATTTCTGTCATTTTCTGTATATATATTTGAGCATTTTAATTTTTTTATGTATATTTATTTGCTCTTTGTTATTTACTAAGCTTGTAGTTGAAAATATTATGATTCCCTCTGTGTCCATAGAAAATTTCTAGTCCAAGAAATCCTTTTATAGTAAGGAAGAATCTATGAAGTTATTTTAGTACAGCTTGATGATTTCAATTATTTCTGCTCAACAGTGTCTTTAAAATATAAAAGTGGGAAAATATTTTGAATGCCCAAGTATGTTTCTTTAGTTGTTTGTTTCCTTTTATTATAAATGTTACCATCTTTATATTAATATGCTTTAAATTGTTTGACAAGTCCTATGTTTTTCTTTCCTGATATCATGGTGATATATTCCCCATCCAAAAAAAATTGCTATTACATTTTTAAAAGAACTGTAAAAAAAAATTGTTTTTCAGTACGATTATATGGGATCAGAAATAATGGCTGTAACGCAGAAAATTATCCAAATTATTGGCCTTGTCAACACTGTAAGTTTTAACTTTTTTACATTTATAATTTTATGAAAAATCATTGAAAATTATTTGCATTCAATCATAACAAATTAAAGGCTTTTAATTAGTTTAATATCCAAAATAATCAACTGAACTTTTTCTTCATTTTTATTACTGTTTTGATGTAGCAATTTGTGTGACTTGAATAAATATAACATAAATCTTATTTCTAGATGTTTACTCAGTTCAAATTGACTGTGATACTGTCCTCCTTGGAACTGTGGTCAGGTAAAAACCAAATGTCTACCAACGGAGATGCTGATGATTTATTAAAAAGATTTTTGGCATGGAAAAAGGACTATCTTATCCTACGGCCCCATGATATAACATTGTTACTTATGTAAGCATAATGTTCTACATTAATGAAGATATATATTAATTTTATAATTTAATATATTTATTGTGTTTTTCAACTTTCTGTAGGCCCCTTTGGTAATGTTAAATAAAACACAGCTGTTGCCATGAAAGTGTAGTTAGAAAATGGTAAGAAAATTTTTTAATGAATCAGTTATATAACAATATAGTTTGGAGTGTATTTTATATGAAGAGATCTGCTTTTCATGAACATTTTAAGATATCAACCATACTACAGAACACATGTTAGCTTAGCTTATTAATGAAAAATGAATACTATTCAGTTAACATTACCTATAATATGTTAATACACTTTGTGTGTACTGTTTGACTAAAAGCAACTTGTTTTTTTGGTAATATTTCATTTTTTTAAAAAATGGTTTATCTTTAGAGAATCAAGATTTCTTCTTCTACAAATTAAAAATCCTTTTTGTTTTAACTTTTAGTGGTCAAAATAGTGCAGAACAAGGGAAACTGAGGGGAATTTGAGATAATAAAATTATATCAAGTCTAGGAATTAGGTGAAGAAAGAAATTAGCATTAAAATGAATTATAGTTTTCAATATTTTGAGCATTTTGTATAATAGATATTATCCAGATCAAAAAGTTGTATGTTTGAAAAATCATTTTAAATTTTATGGCAGACTTAATTTAATATGTAAGCTAGTGAATTGTTCTGAATAATTATGCTGATAAAAAAAACAATGCTATAATGATGTAGTTACAGGAAACATCCTAAATATATGGGAGCAACATTTGCTGGCACAATATGTAATAAAAGCTATGATGCTGACATTGCTATGGTATGTAATTTTGTCCTTCTTTACATTACTATTTTTCTAAACTTTATATTATATTTTATAAGTATTATTATACATAATTAAGTAGTGCATAATAACTTGATTTTTTTTTCTATATGTATATTTATTATTATTTTGTTGGCACATTATTTTAATCTCAGAAATTTTATTTAATTATAAATTTCAAACATAAGAAAAATAATATTAGTGAACATTAATATATCCATTCACCAAGTAGACATTATGGGTACTAACATTTGCATCAAATTTTCTAAGGACCTTTACCTAAAACAAAGGTAAAGCCTCTTGTGTATTTCCTTCAAACTCAAGAAATAGCAAAAATCATGAATTTGTGCTTGCCATTTTATGAACATTTGTACTATTACAAATATATGTATCCATGAACTATATTTGTATGTTACTGTTCTACATTGTTCTTATTTAATATATCATTTCAGAACTATTTTGAACAGCTTTTAAAAAGATATATGCATGTTTAAACATAACTCTACTACAGTTACTTATTTAAAAATTTTTATTTTATCAAGTAATGAATATATTTATTATAAATACAAATGGTTTTACAATAATTAAACTGAAAAAACAAACTAAATCAGTTTCTTGCATAATCTATACCCCTTGAATCTTCTTTCTCATTTTTTAAAACTTTTTCTCTTGGCACACAACTTCATGTTCATTTCTTTTTATTTCTTTTTATTTTAAAAAAGTATTCATTGTGGTAAAATATATGTAACATAAAGTTTGCCATTTTAACTATTTTTGAGTGTAGAATTCAGTGGCATTAATTATATTCACAATGTTATACAACCATCACCACTATTTCCAAAAATTTTCATCACCCCAAATAGAAACTTATACCCATTAAGCAATAACTCCCCATCCTTCCTTCTTCCAAATCCTGGTAACTTCTAACGTATCTTCTGTTTGTGTGAATTTACCTGTTCTAGATGTGTTATGTAAATGGAATCACAAAATACTTGCCCTTTTGTGTCTGGCTTATTTCACTTACCATAATGTTTTCAATGTTGTAGTTCCACGCTGTAGTATGTGTCAGAACTTCATTCCTTTTTATGGCTGAATAACACTTCACCGTATACCACATTTTGTCTGTCTATTCTCCTATTGATGAATGCTTGGGCTGTTTCTACCTTTAGCTATTGTGAATAATGCTGTTATGTGCATTGGTGTGAAGTATCTGAGTTCCTGTTTTCATTTCTTTTGGGTACATACGTTGAAGTGGACTTGCTGGGAAACATGTATTTTTAAGCTACTGTATTTGTACATTTTTTCTATTATTTCTTTTTAAATCAAACTTTTATTGAAGTACATTTTATAGAGAGAAATTGCACAAATCATAAGTGTATAGTACAATTAATCTGGGTTGGCCAAGTCAATACATAGGTTTAAATATCACAGATATCGAGAAATAGAATATTATCAACACTTCAGAAGGCGCCTATGAATCACCCTTCTCCCACTTACCACCCGAAACAGAGAAAACCACTATCCTGACACTTATCAGCATTGGTTACTTTGACCTTTTTTTTGAGCTTTTTGTAAATGAAATAATACAGTATATATTCTCATATTTGCCATTTATTTGCTCAAAATTATGACTGAAAGTTATTCATGTTTGTATGTATAAGAATAGTTCATTCATTCCTTTACTCTATATTTTTAAATAATATGCCCATGAAATTCCTTAAGTTTTCAAATTTAGATATTATTGACTTCCTATTATTGAAGTCAGAATTTTACATCCTAATAGCTCATCATATCTACATTCTGCCTCTTCCATTCTTCCTCTATAATTATATTGCTTATTAGAATCATGTTTTATTCTCTGATGAGCGAAAAAAAAACTAAGATTAAATTACTTGTATTGCTTATTTGTGTTTTACAAAATTTGTAATTGTATCATACCTCTTTTGCCCAAATTTTTAAAAAATTATAAATTACCTCTACTTTTTTTTTGTTTGTTTTTTAAAAGATTTTATTGGGGAATTGGGGGGAGGGGAACAGACAGGTAGACAAATTGCTGTTTTTGTTCTTTAGTCTAGTTGTGGAGGATGTCGCTTCACTGGCCCATGTTCGTATGATCATTGTGCTCTTCCTGGGTGAGGCAGATCAGTCGCTGGTCATTGGTCGGCTGCTCACAGTGGCTCCCGGCAGCTCACGCCGGCTGCCGGCAGCTCATGCTGGCTGCCAGCCACTCAAGTAGCTCACGGAGCCCACTGCAGCCCTGCTGCAGCCTAGCTGTCACCTCAGAGCAACCCAGCTCCAGGTTGAGCTGTTGTTCATCATCTTAGCTGTAGAGGGTGAGCGTCACTGGCTCTCAATGTGGGATCTGAACCGCAGCCCTGCTGCTCAGAACTGGTGCTCCCAAGTGAGCTCTTAACCAGCTGAGCCGCTCGGCCGGCTCAACCTCTACTTTTTTACGTTTTGAAAATTTCCTTTTTAAATCGTGGAGACATCTTTTTTTACCAGTCTATGTTAGACTTTTTGCATAGCTTGTGTTTAAGAATCTTCTATCTTGAGTCTTTTGGAATAGGTATGTTTGTTTTTTATGATTTGCTTTCTCATTTTGGTAGAATACATGCTTCTTAATTAAATGCAAAACTAGATGGGCAGTAAGTTGGGAGTTGCATGATTGAAATATATTTAATTCTTTAAAAAGATTGTTTGTTTAATCTTAGTTTAATTGTACGTTGGAATTTTAAAGGTCTCCCCTTTTGTCATTTAGCTTCTCTTTAGAAATTTTATGCCATTATCATTCTCATTCATTTGAACATGCTTGCTTGTTTTCTCTATGGAAACATTTAAGGTCTTTTTATCTTTGCATGGTTCTCTTATCATCCAATATGCTGGTTATGTTGAAGCCCTTTGATCTGTATGCTAATTTACTTCTGACCTGAAAAATTTTACTATATTGTTTACTTGATAATTGTTTTTCTTTCCCTTTTCTCTCTGGAACTTTGTTAATTATATATCAGAGCATTTTGACTCATCCTCTAATTTCTTTTCTCGTATTTAAAATTTTTTTCTTTTGTTTCTATATCTTCTAGTGTTTCTTAATATTTATGTTGTGGATCAGTAAGTGTTATCAGATCCATTTCCTGCTTATGCCCTGCTCTGATTTATCTCTAGTTTTGAGGTATAGTTTAAAGTCAAGGAGTGTGATATCTCCAGCTTTGTTCTTTCTTCTCAAGATTGCTTTGGCTATTTGGGATCTTTTATGGTTCCTTACCAATTTTAGAATTATTTGTTCTAGTGCTCTAGTTCTGTGAAAAATGCCATTGGAATTTTGATAGTGAGTACATTAAATGGGTATTTTTTTAGATTGTATGGACATTTTAACAATATTAATTCTTCCAATCCATGAATGTGGAATATCTTTTCATTTATTTGTGTTATCTTCAGTTTCTTTCATCAGTGTCTTACAGTTTTTAGAGTATAGCTCTTTCGCCTATTTACTTCAGTTTATTCCTCAGTATTTTGTTCTTTTTGATGCTATTGTAAATGGATTGTTTTCTTAACTTCTCTTTCTGTTAATTTGTTATTAATGTATAGAAATGCCACAATCTGAATATTGATATTGTATCTTGTGACTTAACTGAATTAATTTATTAGTTATAATGGCTTTTTAATGGAGTCTTTAGGGTTTTCTATATATAGTATCAAGTCATCTGCAAATAGTAACATTTTTAAGTTTTCCTTTTTGATTTGGATGTCCTTTCTTTTTCTTGCCTAATTGCTGTGTCCAGGACTTCCAATACTATGTTGAATAAAAGTGACAAGAATGAGCATTCCTGTCTTGTTCTTGATCTTAGAGGAAAAACTGAAAGCTTTTCACCATTTAGTATGATGTTATCTGTGAGCTTGTCTTATATTGCCTTTATTGTGCTGATGTACGTTCCCTGTATACCACTTTATTGAAAGCTTTTATCATAAATGGATATTGATGAAAATGCTTTCTCTGCATATATTGAGATGATCATATGATTTTTATCCTTCATGTCATTAATGTGGTGTATCACATTGATTGATTTGTGGATGTTGAACCATCCTTGCATTGGCATATGATCCATTTAATGTATTCTTGATTTCAGTTTGCTAATATCTTGTTGAGGATTTTGGCATTTATGCTCATCAAAATATTGCCCTGAAATTTTTTTTTTCTGTGGTGCCTTGTCTGGTTTTGATATCAGGGTAATGTTGGCCTCATAAAATGTGTTTGAAAGCATTTCTTCCTATTCAGTTTTTTCTTATTTAGGTACCATTTTGATTTTAACAATTCAACAGGTTGATCTCTAATAAACATAGATGCAAAAATCCTCAACAATATATTAGCAAACAGAGTTCAGCAATATATTAAGAATATCATACATCATGACCAAGTGGTTTCATCCCTAGTATGCAAGGTTGGTTCAACATTCGCAAATCAATTGATGTGATACACCACATCAACAAAATGAAAAATAAAAATCATATGGTCATATAAATAGATGCAGAAAAAGCATTTGACAAAATACAGCAGCCATTTATGATAAAAATTCTTAGCAAAGTGGGAATAAAGGGATCATATCTCTACATAATAAAGGCCATATATGATAAACCCACAGCTAACATCATACTCAATGGGGAAAAGCTAAAACCATTCCCCTTAAGATCAGGAACAGGACAAGGCTGTCCACTTTCTCCACTTTTATTCAACATAGTTCTGGAAGTTCTAGCCACAGCAATCAGACAAGAAAAAGAAATAAAAGGCATTTAAATTGGCAAGAAGGAAGTAAAATTGTCATTATATTCAGATGACACGATACTATATATAGAGAACCCAAAAGACTCCATCAAACAACTATTGGAACTGATAGACGAATTCAGTAAGGTAGCAGAATAAAAAAATCAATATTCAGAAATCAGTTGCATTTGTATATACCAATAATAAACTGTGGGAAGGAGAAATTAAGAAAACAGTTCCG